CTTGATAAGGCAAAAAAAAAGGTCCAGGCACTCCAGAATACAAAAGAGGCAAATTTTTTGAACCCACCGCCACTCACAACGTTTCAAATATAAAATGGTCTTGCGGTTGAAGACAGTTTCGGTCGAAACGTTGTGAGTGGCAGTGGGTTCAATAAATTTGCCTTTTTTGTATTCTGGAGTGCCTGGACTTATTTCTATTTTTGCCTTTATCCTATATCAGTTTTGGAGGCTGTTGCTCATTATGCAAAGACCACCCTAAGGTCTTTTCTCTAAGTCATTAGCATTTATACAGAGTTGGACCCACTGTACTAAGAAGACTTTCCACTAGGGATTTTTGAAACATTATTGCATTTCAGCCTCAAGAACATCAGCTAGGTTGGATACGGACATTGGGCGATTTGACTTGGCTCACAAACCACATTACAGGTTATCTCAAAAATGTATGTTGAGATCGAGGTCAGGACTGTAAGCAGAGCAATCAAGTTTATTGCTCAATGATCTGAACACACATTTTTCTTCAATACCAGCAAATATAAGGATATAATAAGTCAAACATATTGCTTCCCTGTCAAAAAGATGAAGAGTGTATTCTGGTCTTAGTGTTTACCAAATAGTCTTACTTTATACTTCATTGTAGCATTTATCGTTAACATGTTAAACATTGCTAAAATCTGCCTGTGTAATCTTGAATACTATTTCCAGTAACCTGATATGAGTACTGTATCCATTTTTCAGTTATAAGACACTCAGCAGAGGCCTGTCCTTCCCTTATCTCCTGTATCACGTGGGGGGGTTTGAAGAAGCAACCATGAGATGATCCACTCTGTATAAGCCATCTGGTGTGAAAAAACCTAAAACTACTACAGAAACACGCAATCAAACATCTCGTTGAAGCAAAGACTTGGTGAGTTTAGCCTTATCTTTCATTTGATGCTTATCTTGCGAAAGGTCTCCCTGCCTGTTTGCTCCCGATATATAAAATAAATCACTGTATAAAAATAAGGCCAAGGGATTAATTTTCAATTCCATTCTTGTTATAGAAAACAGTTTGAAAAAAGCAACTGTTTGGTCTTGAACCCAGCAGTTCTAGACATACACGCACACAAGCCTAACTAAAGTATGAACTTTATCAAGAACTTTTTCAGGAGCTCAAATGAATTAAAAGTAAATGGGGAAAAAAATAAAAAAATTAGGCAAAAGAGGCAATTTGAAAACATTCAAATTCACATTTGCCTAAAAATAGTTTTTCATTGTGAATGGTGGTAGGAATGGATGCAAGGGCATTCCTAGAACCATAACCACTACAGCACTTTCTAGAAGTTGATAACACTCTTTCTGTCTCCTGAGTGGCACATATGTTGGCTTTATCTCGAACCCAGATTTTATATATATATATATATATTTGCCATCTTACTGGCTAGAGATACAATGTTAATTGATTCTTCCCTATGACTCACTGAGTAGTACACTCGATTTAGTAGTTGCCGTCTCGTTCGTCTTTAATTGTGACCATCTCTTTAATGATTGAAAAGCTTCTGTGTTGCCTCAGTAAATGTCTTCATTTATTTTCTCCCGAGTGTGCACGATGGATTATTTAAATGTATTCAGAATTCAAACTTTCACTAAACATTTGAACTTTATTCAAATGAAACAAGATGCTGAAGTGTTTAATTATATACTTTTGAGTCAGATATTTTGATGAGCGAGCAGTGTGATTGATTGTAAATCTGTATGTAAAATGTGAAGTTAAAAAACAACCCCCCCACAAAAAATTGCCTCTTAAATGTGGATCACACTACTTACCTTTGCACTGTGAATAGCTATATGTGTCAATATTCAAAATGAAAGCGATCTAGCAATTATCATGCAATAGTGTAATTGGACCTTTCATTTCTATGAGCATCTCTAGTGCAGGGTTGGGGGGCGAAGCTTGCCAGCGGGACAAGCCCGACGCCAAATCTGTCGTCTCCCGACAGTCTTACAATTTAATGCCAACTTGCGCAAAAAGCAGGTACCTACCACTGCCAACTACCTCACCATCCCGACCAGGGTGAATTTCTACATCACTGCAAGCACTGAAGGCCCAGGGACCTGGACCCTCACAAACTCGTGGGATAGGCATAAGGCTATCCTAACTATAAGATAAGGCCAGGGACTAATGAAAGTATTTAGAAAATTGGGCAGACTAGACGGGCCGAATGGTTCTTATCTGCCGTCACATTCTATGTTTCTATGTTTCTAACATCTGATGCGGCTCAACAGCTTCCCCAGGAGCTCACAGTGGGTTCGGCACTAGCAACAAAGGACCACCTCAGGATTTTGCGGACAGATCTCCATAGACTGATGGCGGCAGACTGAGCCCTCACGCAGAAGGAGATCAAGGCGGCACAGGCCACAGAAGGCAATGTACAAGATATACAGGCAGTGGTTACCACGCTCAGGATAGTCACCGCCGCAACCATGTACAAATCTGCAGCATCCCCGCGGCAATAACCACGGATAAATTGCCTCACTATATCCGGAGGCTACTGGCCACTATCTTACCAACAAGGATGGCCAAGAAGATGACCCTGGACACCTGAAAAATACCACCTCCACGCCGCAAGATGTAATCTTGAAATGCACCTCATATGCAGATCGAACCTGCATAATGTCTGCCCTGCAGGGCAAAACTCCTGTACAATTCGAGTACTCACAACTCATTTTATCAAGATCTCTTCAGGGCTACCCTGCAGTGGCGCAGGTCCATGGCGTCCTTTACAACCCAACTACGTAATGCAGGAATACTCTACCATTGGGGACCCTTAGGCATCCTACAAGTGATATGAAACAGGACTGTTCAGATACTTCGATCTAAAGAAGAAATCCCTGCTATGTTGACCACAATGGGCCTCACAACACCGGCACCAGCATAACCTGCCCCAGCCGGTGCAGTAACCTGGGATCCGGCTACTGTCAAGCCATTTACCCCGAGAGCAGGCACTTCGAACTTCCACGTGATCTGATAAACAGAAAGATGACATTGGCTTTACCATACCATAGAACTGTTACTTCACCTAGTTTGTTTTAAGATTTCGTTATTTTTATGGTTTGTTGTAATTTTAGGTAATGTTCACAAATCTTATATTCTTAAAGTTGCATACTAACGGATCCGTTAGATAAAGGACCGCCTCCCCATTTGAAGGAAACCCAGATCACACACACCCATACAGCCATAGCAGAAAACCTGGTCAGCGGCTCGCAAGGGAACACATCTAACTTACCCGCCCCCCAGTGGCCCCCTTGGTTAGGGGCATCACTTAACTGTGCATAATCCATGTAATATGCTTACTATAAAGGTCTCAGTGCACCTACTTACACTTTAATGTGTACAGCATTATTCCAAAAGACCCCACTCCATACTAACACCCGCTGTAAACAGAAGCACTCTCGATTGGGGGCTCATCATGCGGTACCCAAATGGAAACCTACACAACCGAAATGGAGCTTCTTGTCACACTCAAGCCATACAGGCCTCCCTATCTCCTGTCCTGTTTATCAACGCAACTCACACTTCATGCTCAGTACAACATCTTCACTTGCACATTAATATGATTACGCCACTGACATGCTCTTGTACGTTTTGTCTATTTACTTCGGTTTCATCAACTGCCAAGTATATGTAACCAATTGTTTTGAAATATTTTCCTTGTTTATACTCTCTTGGCCACATTGGCACAACTGTTATTACGTGCACTGCAAAAATAAAGAATGAAAAAAACAAAAACAAGAGTAACCCCAGCTTTTTTAGAACTACAACTGCCATGATCCTTTGCTGGTATTAAGAGCACACAGATAGAGCCTCTAATAGTGTAGCAGACTAATCCAATTGTTTATTTAAAAATAAATAAATAAATCTGCGTGAAAGGTCTGCTGAAAATGTATATTAGCTGCTCTCTTGCAAATGTAATTACTGGACGTCTGTCTGTTTCAGTATACATCGCAAAGCTTGATGAATCTAGGTGTAGTGTTTATTTTTTATATTTTATTTTTGAATTTTTATTTAAATTCCTTTGAATAATATTGTATGTTATGTTGCACTGCATTCACATATCCCAGCTTACAAACGGATTATCCAGAGAAGATTTTCTTTGCAATAGCAATAAGACACAGCTTAGAGGTTTTATTTTCTTCGATTTTATGCCCAATACTTAAACAAAAGTGCCCAGCATGGAACAAATGAAAATTCTGATTTCACTTGATTTACTTATGGTCAATATCTCTCCTGGGGTTAATTTACTAAACTGTGTGTGTCAGTGGCGTACACACAACCCATGGGGCCCCGGTGCGAAAACTGATCCTTGGCCCCTCCCCCCCCACGCGCTTACAACACATGACGGCGACCCCTGCGACTGCGGTATGTATGCCAGTGCATGCAGATAAACATACACTTAAAGGACCACTACAGACACCCAGATCACATCAGCTCAATGAAGTGGTCAGGGTGCCAGGTCCCTCTGGTTTTAACCCTGCAGCTGAAAACATAGCAGTTTCACTGAGGGTTAATCCAGCCTCTAGTGGCTGTCTCATTGACAGCCGCTAGAGGAGCTTCCGCGATTTTCACTTTGAAAATCACAGTGAGAAGGCGCTGAACGTCCATAGGAATGCACGTGTGGCTCTTGCCACGCATGCGCATTCGGAGCTGAGAGGCGGATCGGGGCGGAGAGATCCCCAGCGCCAAGGGAGTCCGGCGCTGGAGAAAGATAAGTGCTTAAGACACACACACTTTTCACGAACAGACGCAAACACACTAGTTAACAGACACACACATTTACTGACAGACAAACACTCAGTGACAGACATACATACTCACTGACAGACACACACTCACTTACAAAACACACACTAACAGACGCACACAAACTAACACACTAACACACACACACACATTCTCTAACACAAACAAACACTAACACACACACACACACACACCCTAAAGCACAAACACATGCTGCGTGTATATGTGTGTGTGTGTGTGTGTGTGTGTGTGTATATATATATATATATATATATATAAATATACACACACACACATACATACACTGCTGTGTGTGTGTGCTGCGTGAGGGTGGTTTGAGGGTGTTGTGTGTGTGTGTGTGTGTGTAAGGGTGCTGTGTGTGTGTGAGGGTGCTGTTAGTGTGATGTGTGTGTGTGTGTGTGTGAGGGTGCTGTTTGTGTGTGTGTTTGTTAGGGTCCTGTTAGTGTGCTGTGTGTGTGAGGGGGCTGTTTCTGTGTTGTGCTGTGTGGGTGCTGCGTGTGCTGTGTGGGTGCTGCGTGTGCTGTGTGGGTGCTGCGTGTGCTGTGTGGGTGCTGCGTGTGCTGTGTGGGTGCTGTGTGGGTGCTGTATGTGTGAAGGTGCGCTGTGTGCGCTGTGTGAAGGTGCGCTGTGTGTGTGCGCGCGCTGTGTGTGTGCGCGCGCTGTGTGTGTGCGCTGTGTGTGTGCGCTGTGTGCGCGCGGTTGCTGTATATGTGTGGGTGCTGTGTGTGTGGGTGATTGTGGGGGGTGGAGGTGGGGGTACATTACTTAATATCCCCGCTCTCTTCTTACCTTCTGTAGGGAGGGGGGATCGTGCTGCTGCTTTCCCTGTGGGGCTAGAGTTCACTCTCGCGAGATCTGAGCGGCAACTCTCAGATCTCGCATGAGGAACCCGGCGGAGCTGCTGGTTGAGTTCCCCGGGTCCTCTCCTGCCTTCCTCCATGCTGCAGTGGGGAGGGAGGCTGAGAGCAGAGCCGGCGCTCAGATAGCGCCGGCTCTGCATGAGCCGACAGGGGAGATCCTGAGATCTCCCCTGCCGGTCTCAATACATAGGCGTGCTGCGCAGATTTGGGTGTGCCCAGGCACACCCGGCACACCCTGTGCGCACGCCTATGCACACACACAATAACACACACACTCTAACACTAACACACACACTAACACAAACACACATTTTTAAAATTGCATCCCCCAGCCTCCCTACCTTTGGGAGTGCTGAGGGGATTCCCTGGGGTCCAGTGGGGCTGCCCTGCGGCTGGTCCTGCGGGCTGGCTGATGCGCGCGAAGGAGCACTGTCCCCTGAGTGCTTCCTGTTCAGCTCCCTTGCGCGCTGCGTACTGATGCCGGAGCCGGAAGATGACATCATCTTCCGGCTCCGGCATCAGTGCGGTGCGCGAGGGAGCTGAAGAGGGAAGCACTCAGTGGACAGTGCTCCCTTGCGCACGTCAGCCAGCCGGTGATACCAGGGCCAGCCTCAGACCAGGTCAAAGGGCGGCTGGGCCACCTGGTGGGCCGGGCCTGGTCACAGCCACGACCCCTGTGACCCCGGTGTGTACGCCACTGGTGTGTGTGTAGAAATGTCTACATTTAGAATACATTACCAAGCTAGAATATAGTCATATGGGAGAAATGTTCTTGCTTGAATATTTGGGCCTTACCTTTGTGTTTCCAATGATGTCTATATACAGCAGCTAACTTTTTAATAAACCACCGTCATCTCTCGTTCCAAGCTCCCTCTTTCATCTCATTATCTGTAAAAGTGACACAGTTGAACTTTCACTGCTATGGAAAATATACCACTGAATAAAACATTGACCCGGTAATAATATAAGGAAATGTTTATAAATCAGAATAAAGAAAGGCGCCTTAAATTGCTTGTGAAGTTTTTCAATGCACTGTGAGAAGGCATTCCCTATTATTGTTACTCTCTGAGCACAAGGAAGTTGTGCGCTTCAGAAAAATATTCCCCCAACAATATATATTGGGATTAATTGTACTAGCACAGGCCTGGGTAACAGCAACTCCAAGGACCCCCAACAGTCCCAATTTAAGTGGGACAATCCCTATTTCAGATCCTGTCCCACTTTTGGGGGAACCAGGATACTGTCCCCAACAAACACAGCGCAATTGCACTAGGACCATGCAAACGGCACTCTGTGGGCTTATCTTTGTTTATTGGCAGGCAGCCTGGTGTGCATTAACTTGGGTCAGTGGGTCAGGCTGGCCCACTGAGGGCTGAACAGTTACAGTGCTCCTTGCAGGGTCCCAATGCCCTGGACATAGCGCAAGGGCGTCTTCTGATGAGCTCGGACTATGATTGTTGGGAACAGCTTTTTTGTGTCCCCAAAAGCCGGACAGCAGGGAACTAAGGCATGACAGCTGACACAGGCACAGTTGAGGTTATGAATTTGGGGAGGCATAACCTATAAAAAGGGATTGCATAAAAATGGTGAATAAAGTGTGTCTGTAACTATAGCTAGATATAGTGCACATGGATATCTCTTAAACACTCCATCATGTAAAAAAATATATATATCTAAAAGTAGTTTTTTTTTGTTTTTTTTAGGGGTATGATGAGGGAGTATTGTACATCATTCACATGGTGCCTAATTCAGTCTTCGACAAGCCCTTTGCTCTATTCTTCCATTAGAAAGTGAGTAAGTTGTGACTAATAGCTGCTTTACTCCAGCAAACGTTACCTCCACCCCTATGAATCAATCTCTCAAATTTTAACAATCAAACCATCCTTGTTGTTAACTGATACACATCTTTGACTATCACAGAAACGTCAAAGAGATGCGTACAAAGGGATTTCCATAGCAACGAACATATTTTACTCTGTGCAATCAATACCATGCTTACTTATTGACACATTCCTTACAATGACAACAAAAAGCGTGTGTCACAATTATTGTTTGCATCTTCGTTGTTAAAAATTGTAACCCGAACAAATTGCTTCAGGACCCCGTTTCCACAAACACCTTGTACAGAACATTGAAAACGTTTTAGAATAATGGCTTGCCTTAGATATGTTTGTTGAACATGGAATTAGTTTACGGATTTGTTCTAACACACGGCTGCTTGGCAAATTATCCAGATAACTTTGACCAAAGATTTATTTAACAGCAGAGTGTCCTGTTTCTGTACTGTGACTCGACATACGTCAGCAAAGGTTTAATGGGGCCAACCCTGTAAGTCATGATCCTATTCTATCTCCTTATACCCATCAGAACATGTCGTAAATATGCTGGCAAACTGGGCTCCTAGCTGATCTGCTCATTCCTAGTCCCAGAATATTCTTATTAGTAGAAGTATTTATATGGTGCGGTTTTATTCCACAGTGCTTTACAGAATTATAAAGGAAGACTATTACTAAATGTTATAGGAACAATAGGTTGATGAATACAATGTAGTGCAGTTATAGGTGTTTCTAACTTTGTTTATTTAAAGTAATATTTAATTCTTTCTCCATCTGTCATGTAATCCAATCTGCTTCATAGAAACCTATAGGCTTCAAAAAATTTATTTCATATTAATCTGAGAACCGCAATCATCCCTTGCGTATAACATTGTCTTTCTTCCATGACCAGGAGAGCTTCACTTGTCCATAGTGCCTTTGGACTCTCTACCGGAGCAAATATGGGAATCACCAGGCTTTCTAAGAGCATTACTCCTGGAACCTATAACACAGGGAGTCCAGTTTTTAGAGGGCTAAATGGGCAGCTCTCAAGGCAGGCTACAGCATACCCCCTCAGCCAGATTTTGAGTCTGTGGTGCAAAGAGAGTCCTAAAGTAGAGATCATGCTTTTTGAGAGCAAAATGCCTGCGTCAACAACATTCAAATCTAAATATTGTGTAAAGTCCGCAAGGACTTCACTACCAACTCTAAATCACATGTGAAGTCTACACCACATTTACTTGCAGCTTGGAAAATGCAAAATCTGAGCTTTTGGGTACAGACCCTGAATTGGGCTGACTTACAGGTTTATTCACGAAAATTAGAATTCTAAGTGAATTTCAAATGTAAGCCGGGAGCCAAAGCATAGCGGGCTTGGAGAGTATTTCCATGTTGGCTACTTTTAGCTTTAATTTGAAATTTAGTTTGAATTCTCACTGTAATGAACAACCCTGTTAGTGTGTCAGGGGAATTGTGGGTTTTAGGATGTTGTCAGAGTGATTGCGATGGGGCCTAGCACCATAAAATTCCCCCACAGTGTGAATGGAGAAGTTACTATGTGCATCACCAACATATCTCCATTTGGACTTTGGAAAAACCTCCTTGGGCACAAAAACATGAGCAATCCTGTTTCCACAGCTTTCCCAGAGTTCCAATTTTGGCATGCAAATCTGTAGCGATAGACATTGTGTTTCAGACTTTACTCTGCAGGTACCCTTGGCAATGGACGCTGTTTTATACATCACCACACCAAAGCATGCACTATGATGCACACGGATCACTGACCACCAACCAGCCACGGACTGTTTAATTAGCATGGTCCTGGTTCTGGTGTGAAGTTGACGTCTCTCTCAGAGCGTATCACTAGATGTCAAAATAGCTGAGCTGGAAAAATAGCTAATTTGCTGATTTTTTTTAAATTCTGATCTTTTGGCCTAAAACATAAAATCTCCACTCAAATTACCATAGCATTAGAAGTACCTGCCCCCACGACACTGTTTATTGGGTCTATAGTATTCTAACTTTTTATGTCCGCTCTGTATACTGTATGGCGATTGTGTAATGTCGGCATTTGCAGTTTCCTCCCCCCAGGCATAATATCACTACATCATTAGATAATCTGTTCCTAGCTTTTCTGTGTGCCCTCTCCTTGCAGGCTACTTACCTGCATTGAAACAAATTGTGACATTTCAAAGCTTTTGAGACAATTGTGAAATGTCACATTAAGACGTTTCCCATAAGTCATGAGAATATTGCATCCCTGCCGCCCCCTTTTCTCCAGAGGATGGGGGGGTGAGTGGAGGGTGTAAAGGTTAATCTCTCTGTGACAATGTCTTTCATTAATCAATGAGCCTGTGGTTCTGCCTGAATCCACAGTTATGGTATGATAGATTACCAACAAATGATTCTTCCTTTTATTAAACTGCTGTGCGACTCAACACTTATTAATTATGTGGCTTGCAATTTGCATGGCACACATAATTAAGTTGTGAATTTGATTACGGTGACATTCTGCAGATTTTATTGAAATTACCTTGCCACCTAATTTATTTGAGTCATTCATTAACTGATATTCAAAGAGGCAGGGCTGCGTGGTGCACCCCAGGCTCT